GAAGAACTGGAAAGAGTCCTCGAAAATACTGAGCCTTTTGGATTGTCTTGAGAATATACGTAAATCGGGTTCTGGTGAGAAGAGCATTGTGTTCAGCCAGTGGACTTCGTTTTTGGATCTTTTGGAGATACCGTTGACAAAGAGAGGATTCGAGTTCTTGAGGTTTGATGGGAAGCTTGCGCAGAAAAAGAGGGAGAAGGTTTTGCATGAGTTTGCGGATACTAGAAACAAGACTGTAAGAAAAAAAGAAGTTATAAGAAATAATAAAATCTTATAATGAGAAACTGCTAATTGAATCTTTGCTTTGTTTAGGTACTGTTGATGTCCCTGAAAACTGGTGGTGTGGGCTTGAATCTGACTGCGGCTTCGAATGTCTTTCTAATGGTATGTACAAGTACAACTCACAGGAGAGTTGTTTATTATTCAATTTATAGTGAAGGTATGTATTATAGAATTAATAAGTTTGAAATGCTGCATTGATTGGAAAGATTAAAGGGCAATTTTATGTTTATTGTTCTTTCTCCATTAAAAAATAAAGTTTTTAAATTTTATGATTATTATGGGTTGAATTTAATTTATGTTACATGCACACAGGATCCATGGTGGAATCCTGCAGTAGAGGAGCAAGCAATAATGAGAATTCACCGGATTGGCCAGAAGAGGACGGTCCATGTAAGAAGATTCATTGTCAAGGTGATTTTTCTCTTCATACATCATCTTTTTCTCTTTCAAAAATCATATTCTTTATTTCAATAACTCCATCTTCTAATGGAAAAAAATAGTAAAAATTAAAATCACATAGCTGCAGTCTTGGTTTTAGAACTATCATGAAAAACATATAGTTTTAATCATTCTTAGGCTTGTTATTTGCCTCAACTTGCACTGTCTAATGAATGTCAGACTAGTCGTGAGTTTCAACATGGAATAATTATAATATTTGTACTTTACATCATGTAGTCCTACATTCTTCCCACGTTTCCAATGTGAAAATTTGACATCTGCATGCCTTTTTATGACATGTAAAGTACTAAAACCTACTTTCGAATAAACCATATTGATGTTCTGATATGACAACTTACTGGAATCCCATTAGTCTTCACAAACAAACAGCTCTTATTATTATTCTTTTTATTTTATTTTATTTATTTAGAGATGTAAAAGCTTGTGTTTTGAGTAGCATTGGAAAAAGTACATCCACCCTCAGTATACAATAGTGACTTTTGGGCTTTTAGGCAAATGTCCAAACTGGTGAAAAAAGAAAAAAACCTCACGTTATGTCCACGTTGGTGGTGAAGAAAAGTCTCGGCCGCAAAAGTGGATTTGAAAAGATATAAGCAATATTATTATGTTGTTTGTGAGAGCCTTATGAGCTTTCAGTTGCTGTTGGATTTGAAAAAATGGTTGTCTTGGTTAAAATTTGACATGATAAATCACTTTTACAGAATACAGTAGAGGAGCGTTTACAACAAGTCCAAGCCAGGAAACAGCGTATGATAGCTGGCGCCTTAACTGATGAGGAAGTCCGATCGACCAGGCTCGAGGAACTTAAAATGCTCTTCCGTTAATTTATTTGCTGAAGTAATTAATCTTAGCATTGGATTGAAAAGAATCAGTGGCCGCAATTTTGTGTCAATGCTTTATTTTTGTATCCCTAAAAACCGGTGCAACTTCTGTACAGTTCTTTATGTTGGTTTATTTTGTCCTTTTATTTCTACATGTGCTGCGAGTGAGTGGTTTAACTTTGAAGGCAAATGCAGGCATTAAACGACAAGATTGAATATTTGTCAAGTTGAATGTTTTTATTAGGCTACTAAATTTATATTATGGATTGCTCCGTTTGTTTCCGAAAAAGTTTAGCCTTTGGAGAATTTAGTCACTTTTGATTATGTCCAAATTCCAAGTATTTGAAGTTGTATTATTGATTGGAATTTATTTTGGTTTTGATTTTTTTTTTTTTGGTTAAGAAGAGTTAATTTTGAAAAATTATTTGGGTTACATTTGAGTGGGTTTTATTATTTTGTATTAAAATAATATTTAAAATAAAATAATTAAAGTTGATTTGATGTAAAAGTAGAAGACTGCTTGATTGGAAATGATGGATAACTAAAAAAATACAAATAAACAAATAATAAATTAAAGTTGATGTGGTGATAATTTATTTATTAGTTAATTATATTGATAATATTGAGTAGAGCTAGTTGAAGTAAATTTGAAGTAAGTTTGACTTGTGATTGGAAAAATCCAATCAAAATTTATATCCACCTAAAATTATCAGACATCATGTTTTGATGATTAATTATGCCTCATTACATAGTTTCTATCAAGCAATCTAAAGTAGTATTATTATATATCTATTTTATCGTATGGACGAATTTACATCAACTTACCAATAGTTTTTCTTTTTACATGACTAGTAAAGTGTATGTGCGATGTACATGCATAATTTAATAATATATTGTAATTTTAAATTATGTCTTTATTTTTTTTAATTACTGTTTTTAATTAATTCAACAATATAAGTACATTACATTATGAACAGTGTTAAATGTATTGAAAATTGAAACATACTTTTAAATAATGACAATATTTAAAGGTTATAATATGAGTACATGAAAATATCCACTAACTAATAAACATAGAACACGCATGAAAATTTAAAAAAAAACAATAATTACCCAATAATTAATTGTGATAATTTGTAAAAAAAATGTCCAATAAAGCATTTGTTTGGTCAAATATTAGCAATTTGATTAGTTAGTGAATTCGTATGCAATTGCAAAATTTAGTGGCAAAATTATGTCCTAAATTACAGGACATATTTTGCAATTTGTCTTCTTTGTTTTGTTAAATATTTCAACGTATATTTTATTTTGGAGTCTCAATATTATCCTCTGAAATAGTTATTGATACAAATTTTTGGATAGTTTTTCCCCCTCTTCAATTTGTTTTCATCTTAGATGTCAGTTCTAGGTTACTTTCGTATAGTCCTCCCACTAGGTTCAGATATGTAGCTACTTGATTAGGCTGTTACTGACTGTTTTCTAGATTGTAAATATGTGTTTTATTTATAAAGTCTATTGTTTTAAAAAAAAAATTGTTTTCATCCTATTTGAATACTGATTATTTATTTTATTATGTATCATGTGCGTTTTTAATGTCAACTGAAAGTTAATAAATTTTGTTTTGACATAATTGTTTTGTTCTTCTTCTATTATTTGAATTTGATCAATTATAATATTGAGTATATATTCTTTTCTATTATTTTTATTAACGACATAAAATAATAGCAATTGATATTTGCTAACTGAATTTTTGAAATTATCCATGCGTCATTTATAACATAATTTTCATATATATTTTGTTATCATTTTATCTAACTATTAGTACATATCGTGCATTATAAATATATATTAAAATTAAAATTTTGATGGAAATTTAGTCTTTTTAATACTTTGGTTCATATTGCTGTTTTTTTTTGTTGTTGTTGTGTTGTTGTTGTTGTTGTTCTAATAAAGAATTATCATTCAACTCAAACATTTGTTTTAAAAATTGTTTCTTTTTTCTTGGAAAATATTTTTCATAAACTTGATAGAAAACTTATCGTATATACTAATTTTGTACTTATTTGTATGTTAAAAATTATTCATTGATACAATAGTTACGAAGTTACTCTGATATGGGATATTATGCTAGACCAGTTCTAATGGATAAAAGGAATATATTAGAGAATAAGTCTATACATGGGCTAAGACACGTGACATGATGATATTGGTCAAGCCCAACTTGGGCCCTAAGGTACACCCCCTATAAAAGGGGACTAAGGTATATCATTAATTCATTCTCTCTCCATTCATTACTACACTCTAATTTTGCACTATCATTTTGGAACGAGTGCTGACTTAGACATCGGAGGCCCGACGCCAGAACCCCCTCTCGGCGTTCGGTTCTTGCAGGTACGGAGACCGTTCGAGTTGAAGGAGCTCTGGTGAAGTCTATTCACCAACATACTCTATAGCTAAATTGATAATAAAATAATATCATTAAACAATACATAAATTTTATATCAAATAAAATTTTAACAATTAGATAAAAAAATATTCATTTTTAACAAAAGCAAAAACATTGTGCATATATGAAATTCATAAAGGTTGTATAGTAAAATAAAGATCATTTTCAATTACATATATCAATATGTGTTTCTATTTTTAATTATTTCTCATATTTATAATAAATTAAAAAAATAAATATATATTAAATCATTCAAATAAAAAATAATAGTACCAACTAAATGAAATAAAATTTAAGTACAATATGATATGATATAAGAAATACTTATTTTTTAAAAGAATATTAATAAAATTGAACTTTGTATATTTAGTAACTTTCTACATAATTAACTCTAATTTTTATGTACATGTATATAAATATTTAATTTTGATCAAATGTATAATAGTATGGTTCATCAACGTGCATTGGGGAAGATTGTATCTTTTACAAGTATAAATTTAACAACCTCAAATGTTATCATGAGCCCAAAACAACCATTCAATATGCATAATGTGTAAAACTTTTAATTTGAACCCTTTTATCCTTAAGTAAGAGTTCGAGTTCAATCCACCAATAAAATTATTTTAAACATCTTTGAAAAATAACTATTAATATTAATATCATGATCATCTTTGCGTTTTTGGGTGCCTTTCTTATACAAAAATTTTTCCACGCCCTTCCGATAAATTTGCATCTCGGTCTCGTCATTATGTATTTCTTAGCTATCCTCACGTTATCAAAGGATGGAAACTTAATGATTTGGACACACATGAAATTTTCATTTCCCGAGACGTCATTTTTCCCACGCCGGCCCCTGCTTCATCCATTCCCGAGCCCACTGCTCCAGAATTCACGAACTCCACTATTGTCGATAGCCTTACAACGACTGAAACATTTGATCCCGAAATGTCAGTGCCCCAAACTTTCCACCTCCAACAAAACCGACCACTTCGATGAACATGGCTCAACCTACATCTTCCAGGGCACTTCTTGCTAGCCCCACGGCTCCGACGAACATGATTCCGCCAGCGCTACCATCCAGCCCCACGGCTACACCAGAACCACGACAATATCGCTCCCCCCATCCGTCTTCCCGACTCGACGATTACCAATGCTACTCGGGTATGCCATCCCCCCTTGTGTCGTACCGGCTTCTTCTACTTCTTCAGGTATGGTCTACCCACTCGAGTGTTTTGTCAATTATAGTGGTTTCTCTCCGTCCCACTTGGCTTTCCTAGCTACACTTGACTCCGAGATCGAGCCTAGGTCCTACTGGTTGCGCAAGGACATTCGCTGGCGTGATGGCATGAATGCTGAAATTCATGCCCTTGAAAACAGCGACACTTGGACTATCAAGCTGCTTCCTCCTGGAAAGAAACCAATTGGGTCCAAGTGGGTGTAACAAATCAAACGACATTTTGATGGCAACATTGAGCACTTTAAGGCTTGATTAGTGGCCAAGGGCTTCACTCACGAGGGCCTCAACTTTGAGGAGACTTTTACCCAGTGACAAAAATGACGACTGATTGGCGCCTTCTCACGGCAGCTTTAGCAGAGAACTGGAGCCTCCACCAAATGGATGTAAACTCCATGGTGATTTGGAGAAAGAGTTCTACATGTAACTTCCCCCACGGTATACTTCTTTGACCTTTGACTCCGTTTGTAGACTTCACAAGTCACTTTATGGCCTACAACAAGCCTCACGTAATTGGTTTGCCAATTTTACCTCGGTACTTTGCACTTATGGTTTTCAACAGTCGCAAGCCGATTATTCACTATCCACATTCCATTCGTGTGCTGATATATTAATTGTTCTAGTTTATGTTGATGATCTGATCATTGTTAGTAATAATTTGGTCTGTTGTTCGACATTTAAATCATACCTTGCTAGCTGCTTTAAGATCAAGGACTTGGGATCTCTTAAGTAATTTTTAGGTATCGAGATCGCTCACACCACCGAAGGATCATTTCTTTCTCAATGAAAGTATACGCTGGAGATTTTATCGTATTGCGGTGTCACAGCCGCGAAACCGACAACATTCACCATGAAACAACGGGCTAAGCTCACGGATTTGATCGGCCCATTGCTCTCAGACACAGTGCGGTTTCAATGACTTATTGGTCGTCTTCTCCATCTGACCATCACTCATCCCGAGTTATGCTATTCGGTCCATTTACTCGCCCAGTTCATGCAGCAGCTGCGAGAGAATCATTGGGATGCCACCCTACGCATTCTTCACTACCTGAAGCACAATCCTGACCAAGGCATTCTACTCTGGCGTCTGACCTCATTAGAATTAATCGAATATTGTGACTCTGACTGGGCCATCTGTTCGATCACACGGCTTTCCACTACTGGTTTCTTTACCACCTTAGGCAGTTGCCCGATTTCTTGGCACACAAAGAAGCAGATTGTTCGATGGCCATCACCGAGCTTATATGGCAGTGCAATTTACTGTCTTCGCTTAATGTCACGCTATCCGTCCCTATTCGTCTACTCTGCGACAACCAGTCTAGCATTCATATCTCGGCCAACCCTGTTCACCACGAGCACACGAAGCATATTAAGATTGACTGTCATTTTGTTCAGGAGCGTATTCAGTCTGTGAACTACTTGTCGCCTATGTTCCCACCCGCCTAAGCTTGCTAACATTTTCACGAAGGCTCTCGGACGAGGTCGCTTCCTATCTCTACTCTGCAAGTTAGGCATTCGTGATCTTCATGAACCAACTTGAGGGAGAGTATTTGGGAAATCGTATTAACATGATTTATGGGATTCACCTCCAAAATTGATTCTATTTCGTTATGGTGACTGTTGTATATTAGGTAGTCTTATTTTTTTTATGAAGGAAAAGATCCCCTTGTATGTATAAATACTACATTTGTATTCTTCTCTAGTAAGAAAGATCATTCACACAATTCTACTAATTTCTTATAATGGAATCTCACTATGGTGCACCTAGACTCACCATTTTATGGTGCGATTCACGTGCATGGGATTACACGGCCTACGTGAGACCTGCGATGACGTACCCGTTACCCGGCCTACGTGAACCTCACTACGTGAGACCTGCGATGACGTACCCGTTACCCGGCCTGCTCTATTGGCTTGGGCTTCGCATGAAGGAATCACAAGTGAGAGGGCGTATTAGAATATCACTTATGGGTTGTCCGACATTTACAGGGAAAATAGGCTTAACTTATAAGCCTAGTGAGCTACTCCTACTAATTGATATTGAGATGAAACCTCACTAAGGTGCACCTAGGCTCACTCTCGCATAGTGCACTTCACGTGCATGGGACCACACTCGTTTTCCCTAATTCTTGTAGTTATTACAATTATACCATTAAATTTTGTTAAATATAAATGCTTTTTAGTTCGTTCAATTTTTTTTAACACAAACTCACTATTTCTTTTATAATAGTACAAATATATACATATATATATATATATATATATATATATATATATATATATAGGGTCACGCTATGGTGAGAATGACTCTTAATGCGAGAAATAAGAACACATCTTGGCCATTAGATCGGATGATCTAATGGCTAAAAAAAGTCATACTTATACCATCATTAAGGATAATTTAGTATTTTTCAACACCAAAGCAGTGGGACCCCCTCCACAACACAACCATTCCTGCAACCTCACCCTCTCTCTCTACCCACTCACGCACACACATACAAACACAAGCTATATCACCCACACCAACACACACAAACACACGCACACATACAAAAAACACACGCACCCACACACACAACACACGCACACACACACACAACCACCTACACACACCTGCACACACATACCTTCACATCTTGACAGAAAAAACAAAAACCTTCACAGCTGCCTTCCGACACACAGACACACACACACACGACCACCGTTGCCGGAGAACCCCCGCTGCCTGAGCATCCCATGCCGCCAACGTAGCATTCATGCCGCCGCTGGAACACCCCTGCAACCGTCGGAGCATCCCACGCTCTGTCTCTCTCTCGCCAAAGCACACAACCGAACTTTGCCTTCTCCCAGCTGCCGACAATTGACTCCGATTACAATCAATTCGCGGCGGCGGCGATAGCCACATCCCTCTCCGAGCATCGGTTGCACTCACTTCCTGACGGCTCTATTTTCTCGTGGTGTCCCGAATCTTAGGCCGTTGATTCCTTTGCCGGCGTTGAAGAATGGCGGCAACCAATTGAAATTCCGTCGTCGTTGAAGAGATGGTGAAGATCTGAAATTGAATTGTGTTGTGCCTTTTTGTTGAGAATTAGATTAAGTTTAGGACCTCTTTGTAATTGTATTAATTTAATTATATTTCAATTTCACCCCATGGGTCAAATCTATAAATATTAAAAAGTAATAAAAATGGTTTTTTATAATTTTTGTTATGCATATATATTAAATAAAAGATAAATTATTAAATAATAATAATAATAATATAAAATATTAAAATAATTTATAATAACAAATAAATTATATAATAAAAATAATAAATAAAAATATATTTAATTATTTAGGTTAATTAGATGTAAACTTATATCTATTAAAACTAGTTTGCGGATACACATGAGAAAATTTTAAATTAATGCACTTTAAAGAGTGGAATATTGCACTTTATAAACCAACACGTTGAACTTTATAAAATAACGCGTTGCACTTTACAACCACACGCCACAATTAATGTCAACAACTCCCGCAAAAAATATTACGCAATATAAATATAAAAAACGGAGTGATGACATAATACTTTACTATCCATCACATCATATATCCACGAAAACAAAAAAACGCAATCCTGTTAAAATACCAAAATTCCAGTATTGCACTTTATATATCAATGCGTTGCACTTTATACAACAATACATTGCACCTTATAACACAAGACGTTCTACGTACTAAAATTACAGTAATTCTAATGGTCGACTGAAAAATATTAGTTGGTTATTGTCGAATTTAGTTATTGTTAAATAAACAAAATAACCGAACATGCCGAACTATCTGAAAATATATTACCGATTTCTTTTTATTAATTTAAATTTTTTTTATTATAAATGATACTATTTTTTATCTATTTTTTGATGTATTGAGACTGCACATTAGAGTTATACGGATTGCACATAAATGTCTATCGGATTGCATAAAATTGAACGATATCCTACGAACAAAAATTTGGTATGAATTTTGATATTTTGGTTCTCTTATTATTATTATTATTATTTTATATATCGAGAATTTCGGTACGATGTCATTTTTTATTTATTTAAATAACCGAAATAAAAACCAAACTATATTAAAAAATATTATTTCGTATAATTTTTATACAATAGCGACCCCAATTGAAGAGGCTAAAATTTCCGATTCGAAATTTTATATTATTAACAATTATCTATTTTTACTTTTAATTTTAAAATATTGACTACAATATTATAAATATACATAATAAGTTAATTCAGTTAGTTCGATTAAATCAAATAACTGGGCGAATAAATTGATCATTTATAGTCAATTTTAATTTGGATTGTGATAAAAAATACCATCAGTACGATTAATGTCCCACATTCATCCACATTTACGATCAAAGTCATGCACATTATTGGCATGCAAAAAGCACATTAATGTATCACGGACTGCACATTATCAATCGAAGCTGACCGAAATAATATTTTCGATTCAAAACTTTATATGTTAGTTCAAATATAATTTTCAAATTTTAAAAGTTCATTTGATCGAATTCATTGTCGGTTTAGATTTTAAAAATTACTTATCACTATCTTTATATGTATTAAAATATTAATAGTTTAGTATATTAAATTATTAATAATTTAGTATAAATATTTATCTCAATAATTAATTTATGTTATAATTAAAGTTTGAAAAAAATACAAAATAATCCCTAATATTAACCTAATTTCCATAAACTACTTTTTTTTCACTGTCTAGAAAAGAGGCTCAGACAAATTAAACAGCTTTTTCAATCTATAATTTTCCGAAGCATAAATGATACTAAGTTGTACAACAAATCATCACTGCCAAATTNTACATTTATATACTAATGGCTCATATCAAGAATTTGACCATTATTTTCCAATTATGCTTCATGGACAGTCAATATCTCGAAAGTGCGAATAAACAACTAATCTCAGCCTGCCTCAAATTAAAACAAAACTCTGTCAATTTGCACATAAGTCCCTATCACTAATCTAATTTACAAACACAAGCCCTCAAATTGAAATTCCTAACAGACCTCAGGCTCCCATCATTCACGAAAAACCCGCCGCAGCTGCTGACGTATGCGACCATTTGTGCGTGTCGACGACCACCTGACCGAGCCCGGCGGCGCCGGCGGCCTGAAGCGAGATGGGAACCGGAATTTCTCGCCTAACCAGTATGTGCTGCAAGGAGAATGAAAGCGCCGGCGGACGGGGAGAAGATTTACGGTGAGATGTCGAATTCGGAGGCAGCTTCTAAACAGGCCGGCAGCTTCGTCGCCGACTTTCGTCCACCGTCTAACCGGATTTTTCATGTCGGCTCGGATCGAGTGCAGGAAACGATTGATGACGAACGGGATGTACGGATCGATATTGGCATTCCGTGATAGCATCGAAGCTCGCCGGCAGTTGGAGGACGCGGCCGACGCCGGGAGAGCCAGATTTTTTAGCAGCGACCGACGACAGAGAAAACAGAGATTTGGTGCGAGAGAGAAGCGGCGGGTGGTAGAGGGCGGCGGGGAGCTGCGACGGGTGGCATCGGACGGCGGCGAGTGGCAGTAGGTGGCGGCGGGCTTATTTTCTGGTGGTAGGCAAACGGACTGACTTTCAGATCTTGTGTGTGTGTGAGAGAGAGAGAAAAAAGTGAGTTAATTATGGTGGAGGTGGTGGGGCCCATTGGGTGGATGAGTTATAATTATTTGTGTATTGTCCGTTTTACCCTTCTAAGTGGTCAAATACGTACATTTGACTACAATATGTATGTTAAATTACCATTTTATCATTAATGATTGACTTAATCTTAACCATTGATATGATGTATCCAAGGATCTACATTTATTCTCATTTCTTGCATTATCCTTCTTTCTCATATGGTAGATAGTGAAAGAAATAAGAATGATTATGGGTCACGCAAGATTGTAATTATAATACTATATGATGGACAAATGAATAACAAAAAAGGCAATTATGTAATTTACCAAACAACCAAATGAGTGGACCCCACCCATAAAATCTCCCACCCACCGACCACGATCCCTCTCTCCGTCGCGCGCACACACAAAAAACTCACACAACTATCTCAATTCCGGCCACCCGCCCACAGCTTACAGTCCGGCTGCAGAAGCACACCACCACCGCAAGAAGCCCGCCGGTCATGTCGCAGCCGCCGACAGACCCGATGCCGCCACCGTCCTTCGATTCCGGCAACCCGTCCAGAGTTCACGGCAAGGATTCCTGACGTCATTCGCATCCGCCTCCTCTGTCGAGCACCACGTCGGACCCCGCGTTCACGGCCGCTTCTGTCAGGACGACGGCTGCGGTCCGGCACGGCCACTATGCCGTCGAGCGGCGGCGATTTGGACCTGCTTGCCGGTAAATGGTACGGTACGGCGGTGATGGCGGTGACTAGATAGACGGCCGTGTGGTGTGCTATAGGGGATGGAGGGCCAGAAAAAAAAAAAAAATGTTTGATTGAGTTCATTCATTCAATTTTTTGGAAAGTGATTTGTGGGTTTTCTTTGATGTAAATTAGATAAACCACATGGACTAATTTGTGATTTAAAAATGTAATTCCAAATCGTGGCTTTGCTGCTTCCTTTTCTTTGAATAATTGATGACTAGTACGTACCCCGTGCTATGCACAGGACAGAGATATTAAATGAGTTATTTTTACAGTCTTGTATATTTAAGTCTAATAAATAATAGGGTTATTATTGTTAAGTTGGGCACACACACAACACGTGGACACTAACGTAATTACTTTATTATATTAACAAAGTAATTACAGAACACAATATGGACCAAGATACAATACTTCACTTATCAAGACCAAAACACACTAGTTATTTTATTATAATACACTCAATATTTTCCTACACACTCTCACAACCCACTCATTGAACACACACTACATGAGCACTAACCTATATTTATAGTTGATAATGTCGGTGGAACTAACCTACATTGTACATGCTAGATTGTTCTACACAATTACAAATGCAATATAAATATCTTATCCCACTAGTTATTTATTTATTTTCCATTAGTGCTTTATTTTGTAACTTCACAACAATTCTAGATAATTCCACTAAAGTTGGTGGTGGATATTTAACATTCCCCCTCAACACCAACTTTTGCTCGTTCGTTGTTCCCGTTGCTTGTTCGTTGTTCCCGTTGCTCGTTCATTGTTCTCGGCCACCTTACGTCGAGAAACGCATACTCACATAAGTTTGAGCTTGTAAATATTTTCCTAGTGTGCTTTAGGCTTGGTACTCGTACTCTTACTGACTTATGGGCTCTTAGCACTTGACTGATATTCTACTCTTATCCAATGCTTGTTGACTTTCCCGTGACTTTTTGTTAGCCCGTCTTCAATTCTATCTTCCTTAGCCGATTCTTTCTCACCAGTGTCGGAGATTGGCAGCATCAAGTTGTCAACTGTCACCGTACGCTTTTCATTATACTCATCCGGATTTGATAATTCCTTCATGTCTTTTGTTTCGTCACTTGAGCTTCCAGAGTTATCTATCCACTCATCATCTGAGTCAAGCTCAGCGACCGTTGCCGTTAAAGCCATCTCGACTTCTTCACCAACTTCTTCTTCTTCAATTATGGCTGACAGTGCTTCAAGATCCCATTCATCTTCACTTTTGTGTGCCTCATCCGACATGACTGCATTTCCTTCCGCTGGCTTCTTCTTCGACCAACAATTCCTCGCTATGTGGCCTTTCTTTCCACAGTTATAACATTTTCCTTCAAATCTTTTACTTTCTTGAGGTTGACCGCTCAAATTTTCTTTCCTTTGTGCTCCCGCTAAATGAGCACTCCTCTCGTCTTCATTTTTGTCGTTGTCGTTTCTTTTCCTCCAATGAAAATTTTCATTGTATCGACCTCCGATATTCTTTACGAAAAGTAATTCTTCATCATTCTTGGATGAGGCTTGGA